TCTCCAAAATACCCTTGGATAATTTCACCTACGCATTAAAATTCCAAGGATAATTCTGTCATTTGAATTAGGAATTTGATGCCTAACATGATCACCTACATATGAGAAAAGTAAAAATCAAGACATTTTAACACTTTAAATGCATATAATTTTAATAATTTTTTTATTGATTAATTAAAGTTATTTTAATCTTTTTATTATCATTTTTAACATTTTAATTACCGAAACATTTTGATTTTCTTTTGTCTTTATAAAAACTAATAAACACCAAAAATTTAAAGTTGAATTAAATTGCATTTCATTGGATTTTTAACTATTGACTGTTTTCTCAAAAATCAAAAGTATGAAGAAGAAAGTTTGCAAAGTAATTAATTAAACTATTAATAAAAAGATGTCATGCCACATGTATAGTTAGAATTCGAATTCTCATTTCCCCATCTCTCTCTCCAATGAGAGTTTCAACCAACTGTTTTGTCTTATAAAAAAAAAAAAAGTCAAAAGTGTGAAAGAACTTGAGGTGTGACAAAAAAAATAAATAAATAAATAAAAGCAAAACAATAGAGACGATATTGCTTTCATAATACTTTTTTTTTTTACACAGTAACAACTAAAACTTACAGCACTAATAATTACATGAATACTTTTATATAGCTATTAAGAAACTGTTTTTGTCCGCGAGACTAGATTACAGGGTAACTTGTAGGGTTAAAAAATGTTCATGGTTTGTAGTAGCGAAAAAGATTAAGTCATTGAAAGTTGGATGTTGAAGGCGGCCCCCCCAACAAAGGCTTTGAGTCATTGTCATAGAGTGCCAAAAATGGAAACAGGGGACGTGAAATGTTTGGTAATTGGACAACCTAAGTTGGTGTCCCTTAGTGTTTGGTGACATCCTTTTGATTTATGGGCAGGGTTCAGTTGGTCATTAGCGTGTGGTTGGTGATCAATGATCATCCCACTGAATTATTTTGGATTATAACTGTTGTTTCCTTGGGGGCCCGTCTCTACTCTCTTCAACCTTAAAATTCTGAAATCCTTGTCAATGATTCAAATTTCACAGAAATTACATCTTTAGGAACAAATCCAGGTTCATTGCAAAGGGAGGATTTTTCAGCACACCAAAGACAACCCTCTGTTTCCCAAGCCCGAACTCCTCCCCACAGAGTTGAACTTTGTGATCTCTAACATGGAGGTTTATAGTTTTAACCACTAGAACACTCTCTATGCACATTGCAAAAGGGAGGCTAACAAAAATTAAGTGTGCCTTTTACGAAACATTCATTCATAGAAAATTTCAGAGTTCAGGAAACATTTGAAGAGTCGATAGGAAAAGTAAAAGAATGTATGAAGAGTCGATCAAAAGCAATCTTCCAATAATATGGTCATGTAGTGTGGAAATCCTCTTCTTGATAAGAACTGATGATGAATATAAGTAAAAACCTAAATTGATGGTGTCTACAAGTTTTTGCAATTTTGCTAGGTACTACCAGCTTCATAGGTCAGGAAGGCAGAATTATGGTAGATTGAATGAGACTATCAATTTACGAACCACCATGTGCTTCATTCTGTAATGACTGATTGCTACATTGGCTGTGCTCAGCTGACGAGTTTTCTCAATACTGCTTCAGCACGATGCTCGAATTTTGGGAGGGCCCACTCATGTTGAACTATATCCAAGCTGTCTTTCTCAGCACTCAAGCTCTGCAAGAATGAAAAACAATCTCATAAGTGGAGAAAACAAATCAAGTTTGCAAGTTAAAAATCATTTTAAGGTCCTTTCCACTTTAACCACATGTTAAGCAAAATGTCCATCAAGGCTGCAGTACTGCCACCCCTAAACTTGAGGTCTTCGATTAAATTATGTTAACTTGAGGTTGCATTAA